GACGTCCCTGGAGCCACCCACCCCCAGCGCCCCCTCCCCATCCGTCCGCAGCCTCAGAGACCGGACATCTTCCACCAGACCGGGCGGCCCAGAGCCCCCCTCCAACTTCACCTTGAGTATTTTTAGGAACGGGGCACCCACCACTCTCTGGGCAACCCGTGCCAGCGTCTCGCTAGCCTCAGCATCAAAAATTTCTTCCTTGGATCTAATCCCATGGCTAACAGGGACTTTAGGGAAGATTTTTGTCTTTGAAATGATCGCAAACTGGCGGCCTCCTGCAGGCAGCGCTTACCCTTTTCCTTCGCAATTCCAGTCGGCAAAGCGGGAATTCTTCAACAGCTCGTGGGCTCTCACCAGAGTCTTCCGTTTGAGCAGCCGTTACGTTCCTCAGTAAGTGAGAGAAGAGATTTATAGTTCAGTAATCAACATTTACAGGTGGCGGAAACGCAGACTTTTCCCCTTTGTAGGCTTTGAAACCAATAAAGCGTGTCTGCTTTTCCCATTTCCAAACTTTGGAAAACTAATTCGGGTCGTTCCAAAGACTGGATCATTTCTCTGGAGCCATCGGCCCGTCGGTTGGGAGCTGATCTGAACCTCAGCCAGAGGGAAGGGGCAAGAAGAAAGGAAACCTTCCGCCTGTGACTCAATAGCGCTAGTCGAAGGTAATTTTCCAGGAATACTCGGATATTCCGAGCAGCCTCCCTCCTTGCAGGATATTCCTACCCTCCTGCAAGTTCCCAACAGGAATAAAAGAACGCATTTCGTTTCTCTCAAAGGTTCGACTTGCCGTCACTTAATTACCAAGGGGGAGACAAAAACCACCTTCAGACCCTGCTGCCAAACCACCCTTCTCGCACAGCGAAGAATCAGAGCACTAAGAGCAAACCAATTGGTGTGTATTTTATCCAAAATTTATTGACAGCAAGACGGGTGGGGCTACAGGGACAGTCTGAAAGTCACATTTGCGGTTGGCTTTCGGCGGACACCTGCTCAGGCGCTGGCCTGGACACGCAGCTCTGCGGTGGCAGCTCCTGCTCTCGCCCTCTGGACGAGCAGCCACATCCATCCCCGCTCCCTTCGCTTAATGCTGCTTTCGTCTGAAAGAGCAGCCTGAGAAAGGAGAAAAAAATACGCAGTCAAGAAACACCGCAGCCTCTTTAAATCCCTTCCGTACCGGGATTTCCTTGTCTCACCAGCCCAAATTCAGCATTTTTTGTCTTGTTTTCAGCTCCTGCTCTCGCCCTCTGGACGAGCAGCCACATCCATCCCCGCTCCCTTCGCTTAATGCTGCTTTCGTCTGAAAGAGCAGCCTGAGAAAGGAGAAAAAAATACGCAGTCAAGAAACACCGCAGCCTCTTTAAATCCCTTCCGTACCGGGATTTCCTTGTCTCACCAGCCCAAATTCAGCATTTTTTGTCTTGTTTTAAGAGGGAAGCACCACCCCAGTTCTGAAAGTGCCTGTAACCGAGTGGGTTTTCTAATCTTCCAGCACAAGAGAGCCACAGCTCCACAAGCTACCTCAAAGGCCCTGAAAGGGCGCCCCGGGAGCCCCGCCGAGGAGGTGGCTGTAAACCGTAACCACCGGGGCTGCTACCCACCTTCTGTCAGCCTCGCCTTGCCCCCCGTGGGCTGGCACAGCACGGTCGAGCAACCCACGCACAAAACGACGGTCTGAGCGTGGCTAAATACCGTAGTGATCTTGTAACAACCTGCCGGGAAAGGGAGAGCTGTGAGGTGAGGGGAACGGTGGG